CAGCACTGACTGCATGATCACTGTGCGCCTGTCTCTTACAGCACTGATGTATGATCACTGTGCGCCTGTCTCTTACAGCACTGACTGCATGATCACTGTGCACCTGTCTCTTACAGCACTGACTGCATGATCATTGTGTGCCTGTCCCTTACAGCACTGACTGCATGATCACTGTGCGCCTGTCTCTTACAGCACTGACTGTATGATCACTGTGCGCCTGTCTCTTACAGCACTGACTGCATGATCACTGTGCGTCTGTCTTTTACAGCACTGACTCTGCTGTTTTCACTGTTCTGCTTTGTTTTTAAACTCAAACCTCAGCAAAATTACACTTGGTTTCCCAGTTTTAAAACTTACTGAATCGTTTAACTGAAAAAGCCTGTTTAGTCTATATATTTTGGCTCTCTAGGAAACTAGTTTGAGCTTTAAGTGAGCTGATAGTGTACAGGTAACTGGACAGTCTGCTGGTAAACTCTCTTAATGATAGTGTACAGGTAACTGGACAGTCTGCTGGTAAACCGTCTTGGTGTAGCTTCTGGCCAGGGTGCAGCACTTAACCTACTGTGCACAGGGCTGAGCCCACACAACAAAGTACAAACAAAACTGAGTAACATGCAGCTTTGATTTAACTTTAAATTGAAGCCTCTGAAATTATGATTGAGACACTTTGTTCACAAAAATAAAATGTGAAGGGTTTGTTATTAACGTCTTCAATTTTTTATTAATATCTTCAATTTAGATAGTTATTCTCATCTTACATGTGTATCTGTCTGTATTGAATATATATTTAATCATTTGCTTATGTCTTATAAATCTGATTGAATAGAATATTTTGCTCTCTTAAATGTGTAATATATTTGATAAAACCTTTACTATCTATTATTTCCACTTTGATAAACTGAATGAGATTCCTATATATCTTTATATTTTAAATGCTTGCATTTTTAATAGATTATAAAACTTTGGTATTGTTTACCCTCTGCTTATGCATAAGTGCCTGTGTTCTAAGCTTTGCCATTAGAAACTGAAGACATGATTTATCTCATATAAGCAAGCCTTTGAGGATAATTCCATCTCAGTAAGCTAAACCACCATCAAAAACAAACAAACAAACAAACAAACAAAAACCATTAAATAACTCCTGAAGGGAAATCATAAAGGTGTTAGGATGGCCTTGGTGTCTTTCATATTGCCATTAGGTCAACCATTAAAGGCATCACAAAATCACTGTTTATGTGAATTCGTGGAGATACAGTCAGAGCTCAAGAGCTGGCTCACTAGTTAAAAGCACTTAGATATCTTACAGAGAACGCATAGAGTTGAAACCTAATTCCTAGCTCCTACTTGACGACTCACAACCATCTGAAACTCTAGTCCCAAGGGATCTGACACCCTCTTCTGCCTTCTACAAGCACCAGGCACTCATGTGGTGCTAAGACGTACATGCATGCAAAACACTCATACACATAAAATAAATAAATCAAAAAAGAAAGACAGAAAAGGAAGGGAGGGAGGGAAGGAAGGAAATGTATCAATATCTGTTTTCATTTCTAATGTGGCCTTGGAAAACAAACAAGCTTATTAGAATTAATGTACATCCAGAATGAGGACTTCAGGGACTCTCCTAAGAGTGAAGTAGATAGGATATGCTGCATCTTGGCAACCTCAAGTCTTCCTAGATTGCACTACATGAAATTATCAATCATCCATCTCAGTTTTGTTTTAAATACTGAAGGTATATAGTAACTGATTTTGGATAGATAGATGCTATGTGTGCTTTATTTCTTTCTCTTGCTGTATTGCACTTGCTAGGATTCCTGGTTAACTAGAAACGGTTGTAGAAGACACTCTTGCTTCTTTCACAGTCTTGGGGGAAATGCTCTAACATTTTAATAAGAATTATATGTTCAATACTCTATATCAGTTAAGGAAGTTCTTTCCTATTTTGCTAAAAACTACAAACAGGTGTTAAATTTTTCAAAATTTTTTTTCTGCATTTACTGAAATGATAATGCATTTTTCTTTTTATGTTAATGTTGTAAATTACAATGTCTAATTTTTTAAAGTTTGGTGGTTTTTTTGCTTTTTGTTTTGTTTTTAAGACAGATTCATACTATATAGCCCAGGCTGGCTTTGAAATCTTGCTTTTAATATCTTCATTTCCTGGATGCATTTTATTTTTTTAAATGTTAAACTACCCTCAGTTGTTAATAGTACTGCCCTTAACCCTAGCAGTAGGTGGGTGCTATAGGAGAGTGGCTCTCCTACTAGTAAGCCTTTCAGGCAAGGGTTAAACTGTTGCTAATCTTAGATTTGGCAAGATGCCTTCTGATTCTCCCAGAGCTTAAGAGTATGGGAAGCTATCTGAAGCCATCTCCCACTCACATTCTTCTCCCTTGGGAGGCTTCCAATGAGCTCAGAATAGATTGACACATGAAATATAAAAATACTTACTAGGAGGTCTAGACTTGGCTTCTCAGTAATACAGTATCTCACAACTGCTGTTATTCTGCCTGTTTTGATGAACTGTTTTCCTTTTGGGGATGTGGGGAAAAGACCCAAGAAGCTGGCACCTTTGGCTTATTCTCTTTTGTTATCAATGTAAGTAATAAACTGCCTGAATCTAAAATAGCTCACTGCATCTTTTACCATCTGTCTTAGTCTGACCTTGATCTCACTTTGGCTGCTGCCGTATATGTAGTAACCTCTCAGGAACCAAGGATTACAACCTGCAACTGCTACAGTAGCGATCGACACCCAGCCTTCTGCCATCTGCACTTTGAGAGCTGTACAGCTGAAGAAAATGCCTACCCAAATTAATGCTCCCTTTGAGAAGAAAGAGAGAGTGTACCCAACAGCAGTCATACTAAATATAAAAGTGTTGCTCTCGGGCTCAGTGTGTGTTGTCTTCCCAGAGTCTGTAGCTGTTCTGTTGCACCTGAGTGAGAGCCTGCTGACTCCCTCCCGGTTGCCCTCAGGCTGCTCCGTAGGCTCTGTCACCAGTGCCCAGCATATATGTACCCCAGCCTGTCTACCCCTGGATTCTGACCTCAGTTATGACATGTTATATATTGCTGGGTCTTAAGTTTTGCAATATTCATGTCAAAACTGGTCTGGAATTTTCCTTCCTTGGTAAACATCTGTTACTTGAAAGCTGCCAACAATGTTTCTGAGACCATAAATGATTAACTTTTAAAAAAAAAAAAAAAGAACAGCAACAAAAAAAGCTTGATCTCTCTGATCATATTCAGCGAAAGCTTTAAATACTTGAACCAGCATTTGTAAGAGCAGTGATCTGAAGTAAGCCCATTTTAAAGAAAAAGACAGTAGAGAGGAAAGTGGGCGTGAGGTAGTGGGAATAATGAACAACCCAGCAGAGGTCTTGCATGACTGGGGTTGCTGCTGTTTATCCTAGAGGCTCTACAGCAATGAGGAATGTCTTCGAGGTCTACAGTGTGGATTCAGTTATCAGTGTTGTCTTGTGGGTGGAGTTCCTTATGGTCAGCAACTATCTGCTCTTTTGGTTTTTTAAATACTATGTATCCATTTTAAGGGACTATCGGACGAGTTTTGGTAAATGTGACTCCACATGACCACTACCACAATCGAGAAACAGGATATTTTATCCTTCTCAGCCCTTGTATCATCTCCCTGACCTGAGACCTGAGCAGCCGCTGCTCTGCTTTCTCTCG